AGTCGAAACTAGTTTTGATTTTTGACTATTGACTTTTGATTTAGTTTTGACATATAACTTTTAATTTTAGTTTTGACCTTCGTCTCTTCAAAATAGTTTTGGCAACCAACACTATTCCAGCCAATATAAATATTCAGTTTCTTTTGTGCACTTTGTATTAACTTTTAATTTGCCCCCAAGTAGCTCAGCACAACGTATGATATATGGATTAAATCTTTTCTAAGTATAAAATATAAAGCACTACTACATAAATATCTTAATGTCAAATTAGAATATTTTTTGCAAGTAATCAATCTCTTGAATAATTAATTGGTCTTTATACAACACTTGTGAAAAGAGCTGAAAATGCCACTTTGTAGATGGCCTAATATAATTTTAAGCCAAGAATCAACAAGAGGAATGGGAAAATATTCGTTAATAAATTTGATGGAAAGCATACATTGAAAAAAATGGATAACCAACTATATATTAGATTTAAACTGAAGATTTTGGTTGATAATCGAAATTCTTTAAAATTTAGTAACATGAAATTTTATGCACTTGTGATGGCCAATACTTTTTATCCAGGCACTGTATGAAGCTAAACAACTACAAACGACACTTAAAGAAGCAAATTCCAAAAAAAAAAAATATAATGAAGGGATTTGATAGAATCATTATTCTACAAGCCCTAACTTTAAGACAAACGCATATTCCGAATTTTAGGTTGCACGAAACTATTTTGTCATGTGACACAGCAAAACCTGAATATAAAAAAAAGGGTGTCCACCGATTAAGAGTTTGCCGCAGAGCAGTAATAGTAATATCATCGAGTTGGACGGAACCCAAATGCAAGTCCTCAAACTCGGAATATAAACACAATGATAAGAGATGATGAACAAAATAATATTAAAAACTAATTGTAGTCCCAAAACAATCACATGCCATATATTGCAAATGACCAGAGGGAACATTAGAGATTTATATGAATTGATTAAAAATCACAGTAAAGAAAACTATATATCATTAATAAATTTTAATAACTTATAATAATAATTAATAATAATTAATAATAATAATGATGATAATGTTAACGATAATGATAGTGATAATGAAGATGATGATGATAATGACAACGATAATGATAATTAATCAGTATTTTTAATAAATTGAATAATTTGTTCTTTAGTAATTTCTACTAAATCGTTACCGCCATTCGAAAGAGCCTCCAAGACCCATTCAGCAGCACAACCAACAGACTTAAATAAGAGAATAATACAAACTACTGCAAATACAACACCGAATACAGCTCCAAGGAAAAGACCAAAGAAGCTTCCAAAAATTGATAAAATAAACGGAGTGCCAATACCACCAATTATTGCCAGCATACCAAAAACAACAGGTATAATAAACAAAGCGATGAATGCAAAAACTATCAATGTGCAAAGATAAAAGTAATGCCATGTTGGATAATCTTCTCGTAAATCTTTAGGATTAATTATGTAATGTGCCAAACTTTTCACATCAATTCCACTTGAATTCGTATTTCTTTTATTAATTTTACTTTCAAGCGAAAATTTTCTATCCATGTTTTGATTAAATCTATCCCTGAACTCGTCATTCTTCAATAAAACCAATTCTTAAAAAAAAAAAAATTTTTGGAATAAATTTTGAAATTAATTTTATAAAAGATAAAAAATAAAAAATAAAAAATAAATAAATTGATAGATTGATAAATACCATTATCATTTTGTTCATTGTTATTATTAATAATTTTGTTTATATTTGACGATGTAGACTTTGTGGCAGTTTCCATGATAATTTTGCTTTTAAAAACAAAAAAAAAAGTTGTAAAATTTATTATTTTTTTATTTTATAAATCAATATTGCTTGTTGATGATGATGTTTAGAATATCTTGTGAATAGCACATGTTTAATTATATATTTAATAACACATATTTCCTAATTAATAATTGATCAACTAAAGCTTTATTATTTTTTTTTGTGTGATATATAATAAATAGAAAAAGTGGGTAAGAAAATCATAGGTGAAACAAAAAGGTCATATTAATATGTAGTATCGCGTATATTTTATAAAATTGGGTAAATTTATTTTTTTTTTGGTTATATAAAATCTCGTTGGAAAAAGCGATTGTTTCAAAAACTGCAAGATGTATATATATGTGTGATAAAAATATTCGTTTAGATAAAAAGTAGAACCAGATTTGCTTGAAAGACATAATAAAACTGGTAGTTGTATATTAATGAGGGTTTAACAAGGGTTTAACAAGGTTTACTAAAAATGTTTTAAAAAGGATGATATTAAAACAAATAAAAGAAAAATTTGTGAAGGTTTAACACTGATGATGAGACAAGAAATTATCTTAAACATGTTAGTTTAATAACAATCCTTTGGTGGTGCACTTCGTGTAGAATCAGTTGCAAAGGAAATAAATTTCACCCAATGGCTGCACTATTATATCTGTTTTACCAGTTGTAAATCTCAAGGTCATATTTTTTAATGCGTTGGCAAGTTCAAGAGCAAGATAATAATAGGTGATGATCCAGATAAATCTTTTGTGTTGATCTGTATTTTGTTCCTTGTAATTACCTAAAATCAATTAATTAACTTGTTGAAAAGCAGAATCCATAAATATCACATTGTCTGTTCTTTTCAATCCATTCCTTATGAATGTTACGAAGTTGGAGTTTCTATTCGAATGATTCATTTAATTTGAATGACTCATTTGATTTGAATCATTTGATTTAATTATATGAATTATTCAATTTTATTCATCTACTTGGATTGTTTGAAATTTTCAATTTGTTCAAACCTTCGAGTAATTATGTCATTCTCTTACATCAATATCATCATTAGAAACCACGTTCAAAATATAACAAATTCTATATTATTAATATTACCATCATTAAATTATTCTTTAATGAGATGGGAATCATCCACCTATCAATTCCAACTATATATTTCTTATATATTGCTATTCCTTTTATAATTTCCTATTACTATTTATTACTGTTATCATCTATCTATCTATCTATCAGAATCGTTACACGAGATAGATACGAATAGGAATAGAAATTTAAAAATATTTAGCGTATATTAATATGGGAAAATAGAAATGGACCACGGAAAAAATCATGATTGATTATTAAATTATATTAATAAAAGTATAATTTCTAAGCTAGAATTAATCTTTGTGACGAATTGCATATAAGAAAATTAACTATATTTCAAGTAATTTACTATACCTTTAACTCAAAATTGCTTTTTTCACAACACGCCCCATATATGTATAAATTTATTGTTACTTACGATTGAAAGGGTGAAATATATGTAGCATACTTGCAATGTCTTCTAGATTGTCGATTTGTAAATTGGATTTATATTTCGCTAGAACTATTCTTTTTTATCTAGGATCCTTATTGACAAGATTGTTTTGCTGACTTTGTAACCGCGTGCTTCGGCGCCAAGATCATTGTCATCGGCTTTTAGGTTCAACAGCTTCGACTGCATTTGTTGTCCGCTTTTCTGACTTTGTAATTAAGGGTGCTACTTTATTATACGTCATCGGTTCATTGTCCGCTCCGAGTAAATAAAAAATAAGCTTACAATAATTATTTAACATCAACCAGTGTTTTTTTCTCTTGCTCTGGTTCTCAAATAATACTTACTCTAGAAATTGGTTTATGTTATTTATATTTGATTGAAATCAAAGTGTGGTGTGAATTTATTGTCTTTTACATTATATAGGTAATCATGTTCATCTCCATAAGATTCTTTATCACAAGAACAAACAAATAGTTGGTAAATTATTATTATTATCATTAATATGGAATAAATCCCCAAAGGTAAAAAAGTAGAATAACTAGGCGGGAAAACTGTTCTTAGACTAATGTTGTTTGATGAGATGTTACAAAAGTTGTAAAACTATTATGTTCAAAAAAGACGCAAGTAAAATTGCTTTGAAGTCTTCTTTTTTGCTTTGAAGTCTTCTTTTTTATATTTTTCTTGTGCATCCCGATCTCTCCTTCCCAAGATGCTAATTTTTTCTTTGGCTGAATACAAATTCAGTTTCCACACACTCATTTATTATTAAACTCGGATATTTCTTATATTAATATTGATAACACGATACATGATCAAGTGCTTTATGTTCTAGGGTCGACTAATTTTAGTGTTGACCTACGTATACATAATTATCATCAAATGAAGTTTTTACGCGAAAACTTTTTATAATATCAAATTACTGTGTAAACTTTGGTCTTCGCTTGAAAAAGCAAGGGAAAATAAAACTCTGATAGAATCATTATTTTTATTAAATTAATCTTTAATAAACTTTTAAAAATAAAACCGTTGTCTTTATTTTCTTGTTTAAGGCGCTTTAATAAAAGCAACAAGTGTAGTGCCTTGGCAAAAGATAACAATTGTGGAGCATGGGTAAAAATCACGTTTTATTTGCAAGCAAGGCTAGGATTAACGTTGGTTAACTAGTGGCGTTAATGAAGTATTGTCCAATGGTTAATTGAAAGTAATGGTAGTATTATTAGTATTATTGTAATCGTAAACGTAAGGTTGTTAAACAAGCTACTGAATTTATAAACCAAAACAATATAAACAAGGATAAGCGACTGAAATAAATCGATTGCAAATGAATAAAAGGAAGCCTTTGAGCTTTGTAAAAGAGGTGATAAGAAAGAACTAATTGACAAGCACTGAATTGCTAGCAATTAATTGACAAGAGTAGCCCAAAAGTTAAGCCGTAATCGGCATTAACCAAAGAGCTACCCTAAATATCACCATTTAACAAGGATAAAATTTTATTACTTCAAAATTTAGAAATGAAATAAAAATAAAATGAATTTATACTGGAGATTAAATTAGTCATTCATTGATTCTTTCTTTTAATTACTAGAATCTAATGTAAGTAAAAAATATTGTTATTAATGATTAATAGATAGTAATTTCCCAATCAATTAATTAACAATGAAATTTTCATTCATCTTTGACATTTAAGTAAAATCAAGATAATTTAATTAATTATTATTTTTAAAGCATTATTTATGTATTTGTTTTGTTTATTAAGAGACTTACTTAAACCTCCACCAGCACTATCACCAGCTATAATAATATTTTGCGGTTGAATTGCCAATCCATTTGGATCAGTCAAATAAAGAAAAGAATGGACAGCATCATGAAGACCACACGGGAATGGACCTTCAGGTGCCAATCTATAATTTATTGCTAATGGTGAAAAATGATAATGATTAATTATTATGATATTAAATATATATTTCACAATTTCCATAACTTGGATAATTTATAACTTACCAAAGACCCTTCGTCTAGTTACCTGTGATAGACGATAATTTAAATCTCGATGAGTTCTAGCAGACATCAAATAATAAGCACCGCCATGTATATACAAGATGACTTTCTCATTTGACCATTTTATTCCATCTTGATCAACATAAATATGTTTGTGATTAGCAGATGATTTGTGGAATTCATCATTCATTTGTATCCAAAGTGGTTTTGGGACAACCCATTCACCACTCAATACACGACAATCACTACTCGACGACGACCCCTCCTTCTCATCCAAATCTTTGAGAATACCTTGTAGACCTCTATTAATGATTTTGAAAGAAACAGGCGTGACTATTATGTCAGAGGGTGTGAATGCAAAAAACATGGTGATCACACGACGTAATGTTTCCACATCAACCAAATGTGTATGTTCAGTTATATTTCTCATTGCAGCACACATTAATGTAAGTTGTATTGGCCAAGACGGTTTACGTGGTCCGGATAAATGGTGAGTTAGGAAATTTGCTGCTAAGGCTGTTGCCTGGGTCGTTAATAAGGCCGCATGATCTAATAATCTACTATTATCTTTTGATTCGAAAAGTTTTGTGGTTGATAATGATGCTGATGATGTCTTTAGTACTACTGATTTTGCTTTTTCTTTATTCTTGATTTTT